GAAAGTTTTCATTATTTTAGTTTCTTATTGCCAAGAAGGCACGTGACTCATCAAGGCTAGTAATTGACTCACCATACCTATTAAGCATGTCTTGGCACTATATGTTTACATCTAAAAGTTACGTAGCCACCTCATGCTTAATTCCTTTAATATGTACCCCAAGTTTTCCTTCCGTAATACATTTCACTTTCTTTTTTTTTTTTACAAACTCATATTCACCTCACCTAGGACTCTTTTAAGACTTTTGGTAAGCCAAACTTAGGCAAAGAAGACAAAAGTAGCTTCTAATGTCTCCGTGAGACTCTTTCAAAGACATTAATGAATATTATAATATTATTTCTAATAATATCTAATATTACTTTCTAAATTAAATTAAAGAAATTAATTTAATTTCCATAATTTAATTTTACTAGTTCTACTTAAGTTTAACCCTTAATTTGAGTGGTTCTATGTTCCTCACATTTTTCTTGTCGAGATCTAACTTTCCGTTTTTCAAAACTAATTTCTTTTCGGTACCGATAATTTCACACCCGGTACAAGTTCTATACTGCTTTTCTGGACTGCCGAGCACCCTGAGTCAAATTTCTCATATTCAACCCATTTCTCTTGGGTATCTCATTAGTCAATTCCCTTTTATGAAATTATCATCTTAATTAATTCAGAATCGCCCAAAACGCGTACCCTTGCGGTACTCTTTTTTTTTTTGTGATTCAGAATTGCCCAAAACGCGTACCCTTGCGGTACTCTTTTTTTTTTTGCAGTTTCCCGCTTTAACTGACTCGGGAAAATTCCGTTTAAGGAACTTTTGCTATTTTCCTTACTTCTAATTTTTCTACTCTTTTTCTAGCTGATCATTTGGTCACATACCAAATATTTTAGTTTTTCATAACTAAAATATACCCGTTAAAATTTCTAACTTTTAACTAATATCTCACTATTCATAAGTGATATTTACGAATTTTCTTTGTAAAAATATTCGTATTATATCTTTACACTTTTCAAGAGATTTTACCCCGTACATAAAGTTTTTACATAATATTTTCTTGATTACATCAAAATTCTACTATTTACTATTCTGGAAAGAATTTCGGTCAAATACTGGACTGTCCGGATTAGACCTAAATTTTTCCCGGTCATTACAATAAGCGACAACACATTTGACATTAAAACGACATTAAGTTTTCAACAAACACATCAAATATATTCACAGTTAAACGACAGCAGGATTCAATCAGAGAAACTACATGTAGTATTTATTGATCAACTGCATAAAAATTGTCGTAGTTTGATAGTTGAACGGCACGGCTTACTTAAAAGAAAAACGACATGTCGTGTTTTCATATATAACAGCGACAATTATTGAACTACAAACGAAATGGCGTTTCAAATGTTGATGACGAACAAAATTCCGTTTTCTTCTGAAAATCAACCCAAATACTAGCTGATCATGGTGATAGATGATAGCAAATTGGGTTTTTGCTCAACAACTACTCAGGTGAAAGGCCATAGGAGCAATACTTCAGATTATTTCTGGTGATGGTCTCCATATGGTCAATGTCCTCAAGGGATTTTCAAGTTTTCAATATCAGGTTATCAATTATCATAGGTTTCTTTCTGTCAAAATACATTTGATTGCTTGAAAAGAGGAATTCGTTTGATCAAATTAAAAGGAAGAGAGAGATTTGGAAATGAAATGTTATTAACTTAATCACTGATCAGAGAATATTTCTCCATCATGTCATGAATTCTTGCCTTTCATAAGCCAATATAATCGCCATTTTCTTTGCACTTAATTTTCCTTGCAGTTAGTAAAATTTAACATATTGAGATAAATAGTGATCATGGTGCATCAAATCAAGTAGATAATAATATTTATCGGGACTTGAGATAAAGTGGGGGAAAAGGATTTTGCACTGATCATGTCATGACTAAATAGTCTTATTCATAATTAGACAAACATAATATTTCTGTTTTTGTTCTTACAAAGTAAGTATACAACAAACATTTGTGATGCTCTGTCACACATAGGCTTTAATAGCCCTTATTATTATAACTCGGGTACGTATATTATTATTATTTCTTGGCAGTTGCCACTTTAATTGGGTTTTTTTTCCGCAGCAACTGCTCCTTAATATGCAGAAATAAAACGATTAAGATAGTTAGAGAGCTTAACATTAATATTAAAAAAAATTGTCGTGAAAGAAAATTATGTTAGACTTTAATTACAAATATGGATTTTAACCACCATATTCATAAATCTCAAGAATCATCATGTCAAATTACCAAGATAATATTAGGGAAGCGTACATGAATCCATGGTAGCGACAATCAACACCTTAGCGGAATATTTACGATGATTGACGAATCGGTTATCGTCTTTCTAAGTCAAATCATTAGAGTTTTTTAATGGGGTGTTTCTTTCTAAATGGGATAGAAGAGAAAGGCGGCCGAATGATTTGATGTATTGGGAACCATAACCTAAATGTCTTTATATACTGAACCAGTAGGCACCCATTAAACCTAGTTGGATCAGTATTGGATATCTACTCATTAAACCGAATTGAGTTATTATTAGGTATTCACCTAATTAGTCCATACCCTGTCAGGAGACTTATTGGGCTGTCCTAATTAGACCACTTTATTAGCCCATTCATTAAACAACACAATATAATTGTTAATTAAAATATGTGGCCCACATTAATAATAGGAAATATAATTTCCTAACAAATTAAGATGTTCAGAAATTAATTGAGTTAGGCCTGAATCATATCTCAACCACTAGTGAAATATGACATCAAATTGCAACGTAACGTAACAATTTACATGCCATAACGTGTACTATTGTGCTATGGTTTAGAGTGTCATCACTCTAGTAATTATTTCACCTTTTGTCGGCATCGATCTTAGGTCACTGTTGCTGCTATCGCTGCCGTCGCTGCAGCTCCTGCTGCAATCTTGTACTTACTTCTTGCTAGGACTCTTGTCCTTCTTCTTCTTCTTCTCGTGACTCTTTCCATGGAAAGTACTAGCCATACCATGCAAATTAGAATAGTAATGTTGCCCTGCATGGCCGTGGCCGTGGCCGTGAGCTTTGTCCATGCAGTAGTTGTGGCCCAGCTGGCCGGGTTTTGCCACGGTCGACATGTGGTCGGTCATGTGGCCGTGGCCATAGATTGGAGTACTACAGTACATAGGAGTGGTTCGTAGTTGTTGGTTTAATGGCATTGTGGTCTGTGCAATAAGTCTGGCCGTACAAAGCACTAGTAGTACCTTGGCCAGCATAATATGAGTCCTTGGAAGGTTTGTAGCACTGCATTATGGCTAAAAGGGTATTACTTTCTTAGTACAAGTTTCTTTGTGGTTTTGCTTAATTAGTGGCAGTATTGCGAGATTGAACCCTTTATATAGGGATGGAATACAACTCGATTGGAATTGTATTTGTCCTTTATTTTATTTAATTATTTACTTTTTTTGGGGGTGCAATTATATAAGTTCCCTTTACAATCGATTAGATGACAAGTCGTTGAATACCAACTTAGATGACTTTGTTCTTGGTCCGTAGGACCGTAACTATTAAAAACATAACAGAGAAGTAAATATTGAGAACTTGATGTCCAATTTGAACACTTGGTGTGGAAATTGGTGTGCAATGCCTATTGCTTTTATTTGTTCCTATTTTTTATTTTTATGAGTGGGGCGGGAACATAATAAGATTATGTTGATCTCTTCAGATATCATCATTACATGATTAGATATTATCCTCAATTCGTCATTACTGAAATTTAATTAAGAATCCTTCCTTGGTGATTAGAGAGAGATTAATAATATTTGATAATACTAAATATAGAGGATGTGCGGCTTGGGTGTTCTATTAAGATTATAAAAGAGTCTATTTGTTCAACAGTACTATCACAATTTGTTTATTTATGAGGTGATTATATTTTAATTCATCAATTTATGAGTAACAGTGATTACCCACCGGGTTTTGTCATGTATTATCTAGAATTGGAAAAATGCAATAGGAGCGTTATAAAAAAATAAAAAAACAAACAAACAAACAAAAGGAAGCACTTGCTCACCAAGTGATCATCTAGCCTACTTTTCCATTCCAAATAAATGTATATGCTAAACACACCTAGTGGTTGAGTACATGATGGACCGAAAACATAACGAGAAATATATCAGGCTCAGGCTACCTAGTTTAGTAAAATAAATACCACTCAAAACCAATATTTGAAGTTGATCGAGTTGTTAATTTAAATCAAATTCTCACAATATGATAAGTTTAATTTTTTTTTTTAAATTAGTCAAAATATAAAAACTATTGTGGATCTATACCTTCTAATAATTAAAGTTTTTGAGATGAATTAATAAAGAAAAAAAGGAGACAAATACAATTTTCTCATTTATAGATTAACATGGTATCAATTGTTTTTATTACAAAAAAAAAAAACCCTATATGACTAATTGTATTTATTTAAGTTTTAGGAGAAATAAATTTTAAAAGAGATAAATTGCTAAAGAAGCTGACTAAGCCTCGTATACATGCGTTAACTCTCTATGCTCAATCTATATTTTAGTATCAGAACAGGTGGTTCTGTGTTTGGAAACTTCACAACAGGAAGTCCATGAGCGCATCTAATGAGAGGTTTGATAGATTTGGCCGGTGAGAAGAGATGAGAGATATGGTTTTGTATTTATGGAAATGCGAGCAAGGAGATGAAAGCGGTGAGTGTCGTCGGAGAGGAGTGGTGGTAGGGATGAAAGATAGTGAGGAGGAGCTAGCTAGTGGTGTCTCGGTGTTAATGGTAAAAAAATGATGGACGCGGAGAGGCTTCCAAAAAAAAAATAGAAACACATAAAGACAGTCATGGAATTATATATACATATGAACAAATTTTCAATAGTTATAAACAGTTAGGAATTGTCATTCATCTCATCTCATTGAAGTTTGTTTTAAAATGAGTGAATGACCATTCCAATAATTATATTGTATCCATTTCATTCCATTCATCAGTTCCTTTTCTTTCTTCAACGAAACATGCCTTATATACTTTCTCTTATTGCAAATAAGATAGGGCAAATACAAGGCATCGTACAGCTTTGTAGCCGACTAGCTTGTACTAATTAAACACACAATAGTTCATGCAATAGGGGGGGGGAAAGCACTACACATAGACTGCCCGGCCATAAATAAAGACCACCAAACGGCAAACACAGACAATATTATACCATACTTGCTGTATCCAAGTTTGGCTTTTATTTCTTTCACACTAGATTTTTATTTAATATATATATTGTACTGAGAGATGCTTCTTGGTATCTCTCACGACGTGAATAGATCTCCCATGCCTTCTAGTACTGCAATAATTTCATAAACAAATATTAATAATCATTAGAAAACGTTCTAGATTTCAAAAAACAAAAAAAATGTCAAATTATTTACTTTATAACTAGATTCACATATTTTAAATCACATGGTGACAAATTACTTTTAATAATTAATTGTGAACTTACAATTGGCCTGCGGCTTCTTCTCCTGTCGTTGTCGCTGTCGCTGTCGTAGCACTCACCGTCAGTTCCGGAGTCGTTGCCGTCACTGCGGCTATAGTACTCGTCATCACTGTGATTAATGCTCCTGGTGCTGTAGTTGCCCCTGGAAGAAGTGCTGCTTGAGCTAGACACGCTCATAGTCTTCATTTGGTGAAACATGTTCTTCTCTGATTTCCTCTGGCGATGCATCTTCTTCTGGTTCATTCCATTAAGGTACCCCATCTCGCCAGACGCGTACTGATGCTGCTGTTTTGCAAGGTAGTGGGCGCCGCCGCCGCCGCCGCCGAAGCCGCCTCCATTTCCTGTCATGACACCTTGGCCGCTGCCGTATCCGCCGCCATAGCGAGCATTGGCTTTGGACATGTACTTTTGGTTGTACTGTGCATTACTCATGTGGTCGTGCCCTGCAGCGTAGGGAACTACGTTGCCCCCGCTGTTGTAGCCCTGACCGTACTCTCCGTAATGGCCGACCTGAAAATTCAGACATCTCGTATATTAATCTTACTAGTCATGTTAAAATCTAAATAGTGAAAGTCTTAACTTTGTAACATAAAACATGAAAAAAATTGTAATAATAATTACGTAATTTTTTATTCCTAATGTATTTTTTCAGAAAAAAAAAAAAATTTGTTAAATTTTAGTTCGACTCATGTTATGTTGAGTAATTTTTACCTTGTTCATAGCGTAGTCGTCGGCCATGCCATAACTGGAATGGGCTTGAGACTGGTTGCAGTGGTACTGCTGGGCCTGCTTCTTGCGGCCGGGCATCATCATGTTCTGTCCATACTGACCACCGCCGGTAGCCCAGTCACTTGCCATGTCATAACCGCCGTTCGAGCCCGTCGAGGAGTTGTAGTACTCAGTTGATGAGTACTCTCTATAGCACTGCATTTTTGGAGGCAAAAAGGATGTTTGGTTGTTCGGGGCTAGTTCGGCTAGCTAGATTTTCTTGGTGTATGCGAGAAACGTTTTACTGTTCTTATATAGGCGGGGCTGGTTGTAAGAAGAATATGCCTATTGGGTAGAAAATGAAGCACTAAAATTTTGGATGGCTTTTTTGCATTCGAAACATCCTTATGGCAAGTGGGTTATCGTATACATTCTTTTCAAAGATCCGTCAGTTATGTCGCTCTTTGAATCTGCATCTCATGCTTTTGATCAACGTACCCTATTCGATCCATTTCACTATTTTTTTTCCTTCTTTGTCAAGACATTGGCATGTGATCAGAAGGGTATAATAAGGAAAAAAAGCTCAGAATATAACTTTTCACTAATCGTGTGAACCACAATGAGTGGTTTGATTACTATTAGAGAATCATTAACAGTACACTCTCCATTATTGGATGGATAAGTGTCATTAAAACCTTTTCATTACGTTGAGAGGATAATCTTGTAATCGATCGATTTAAATAGATAAGAGAATATGATTTGCATAAACTTTGCTAGATGTGGTTTTGTTTGACTTTATTCGTAGGTTTCCACGTGCAATTAATTCGAGTTTAATTACCGGAGTAAGAATATAAGTCGCCAATATTTTACGCAAATATCGTATTCAAGGGGCGGGGATTACATTCTTCATTATTCATATAAGACATGAAAGTTTTCTTTTCATTTTTGCCTATCCTAGAGATCACAAGAGGCTTTAAATTTTACCACGTAACCCAAATAGAAGATGGGACTCAGAGATTAAAATCCATTTAAAAATTCCACGGGAAAATCTCAAAATTGGAGAGAACACTCAACTTTGTCTTCAATTATTAAATATTTAAGTCCAACTATTACAATATATAATGTGGCTGTTTATAGCCCACTTATAAAACGCTAACAAAATAAGTATTAAGACAAGCAATATATATACTTAACAAATAACGATAATCAAATAACAAAACATAGCTAAATTAATAAACAACAACTATAAGTAAAACCTCCTACATCAGGCCTATATTGCTTTTTATTGAACCTCCTCGCAATACGTGCTTATGTAATTACTCTTATGTTCTTTCTATTAATGGGAAAAATCCTAATTATTTTGGTCTAAAATTATTCTACATTGACTACGGTGCTCGAACCCCAAATATGCGGCAGTATGATCTCTGTCTAACCAAAACTGCAATGCACCAGTCGGTGACGATTAATTAGTCCACAGATACATACGCACCAGCGCAATTCATAAGCCTTCTACTCTTGATTTTTTTTTTCCATTGTGACTTCTTCTAATAAGAAAAGAATTTTTGTCCAATTTATGAAAAGATTCTTTCTTTGGGTTATCCAGAATGTGCGAACAACACTATATTTGAGACTAGGGTTTGAGTTTTGGTGATTTAATGTCTTATATAAAGTGAGATCTAAAGACCCCACACCGTTAAAAAAATAAATAAAAAAAATTCAAAACTTGGAGTGCTTAATAGTTTGGACATCTGCTGCATATCTGGAAGTACTCTCAACTAGATCTCACGATTCTTCACATTTTTGGTATCTCTGTTTAACATTTTCTCTGGTTTTGGCTATCATCAAAGTCAGCTGGATTTCTCCTCTCCCGCTTGGATCAAAGTTAATACCGATAGTGCAGCTTGAGGTTCTCCTACATGGGGGGTTCTGGGGGTATTTTCAGAACTTGTAGAGGGTTTGTTAAGGATGTTTCTCTACTTCGATCGCGATTTCATTTGCATTTGAGGCAGGATTAATGATTGCTTTCATGACTGCGGTGGAGATGGCTAGGAAGTATCAATGGCATTATCTATGGCTAGAAATTGGGAGTATCTATGTGCTGAATCTCTTCAAAAACCGTTCTTCTATTGTTTCTTGGAAGCGCTAAGAACCGCCGGATTCATCTTCATTTTAAAGATCATTATAGTTAAGGTATCTCATAATTTGAGAGAGAGTAATTGTGTTGTAGATAAGTTGGTTTCGGTGACAGTTTCTCGCTTGGTTTTCATTGGTGGACCTCAACAGAGTTTCTCTCCTCCAGTTTCTCAGTAGGGATATGAGTTATTTCATTTTCTCATTGAGGATTGGTTTATGCCAATTTTCCCTGGTCCACACAATTTTTTCTTTTGCACAAATTGTTTTCCTTCGCTTTTATTTTATTTTATTATTATTCCCGTTTCCTGAGCAAAGGTTTTAAGTAGGCATCAATTAATTCTTGGGGATCGTTTTGGGGTAGGAGAGTCATTTGCTTTTTAATTTTTATGCTGTGTCCTTAAGGAGTTGTTAGGTTATTTACTTTCAACTCTGTATTTTCATTTACTTTAATAAATTTAAGAGGGGGTTGATAGAGGATTTTTTTTTTTTTTTTTTTTTTTTTTTGCTGGTTAGGATGTGTACTAATTAGCTTGGTTCTCTCTGCATTTATATTAATAATAAGAAAAAAGTGGCAAAAAATAATTACAAAGGAAAGATAATTATTTAGTTAAAAGTAGTTAGGTAGTAGTTGGAATTTTTTTCTCAGAAAAGACAACAATGCCTCATTAAACTTCCAAATATGGTTAAAAAAAAAAAAAAAAAAAACTTACGAAAAATTCATCGGTAGCAAAAGGAGTGCATGATCTCTTGGAAGCAATAATTGCTGAACCTATAATAAAATTATCTCTTGAAAGCAAAATTGAACGTAGAAAATTGCTAGTGTCACTCTTTTTATCACTCTTTTTGTCACTTTTTACATTTATTGTTTGACATTGGACTTCACTAATATGTTGTTATTATTTTAACAGAAATTAAGATAATAGAGTGTATATATCAAACAATAAATACAAAAAATGATCACAAAAAGAGTGACAAAAAAGATAACACTAACATTTCTCTTGAACATATTATAAAACTCTCAATTAGAATATCTTCAACACGGGCAGCAGAAACAAAAAGTTTAGCATGAGAGATGTCTCTTAATAACTTTATTTATTATAATTCCATATGTCATGGGGATGCCAGAACCCTACGTATTACATTTGTTTCCATCTACTGAACATACACTTCAAGCGAGAAAAATAAAAGTACTAAACATTCACACCGTAAATAAAGTTTATAATACAAACACCGTAGTCGTCGTTGTATCCTGGAATTTTGGCTCTTATTATTTCCACACACGTTTATAATATATATATATATATATATATATTATATCGTCAGAGATATTGCTTCTTGGCCGGCCCGCATGATCGTTCATAGTTGACTTATATCTGTGGTTGCTGCTCCTAATACTGCAGTAATAAATTGATAGACAATATGATTGTTAGAACAAAAATTGATTTATTTGCTTCCGTAAATTTGAAAGAATATATATGTGTGTATGACCAAGATTAATTGAATGTTATAACTTAACTAGTTTAACGGAACACACGCTAGGGGACCACTTGTACTTCAAGATCACATATATAGACTCATATGTATAAATTATAATTAATAAAAATATGCCAATTTAATTTGTTTGATTATTCAATATATATTCGCCGCTTGGGAAAACCTTAATTAATTGGTATATGTATTATAGTTTATGCTAGACACATGCGAAAACTAATAGAACTAGTTGGCGTCAATATGCATATGACTAGCAAGTAACTAACAAAAAGAGATATGTACCATCGGCCTCCTCCAGCCCACGTCTTCGTCGCTGTCAGTACTGTCGGAGCCATCGGAGTAGTCTCCGTCGTCGCTGTCGTCGTCATCACTGTCCTCGCTGTACTCGTCGTGAAGGCCGCGGCGGCTTTGGAAGTTCTCCGTTTCGCCTGCATCAAGGCTTTTATTACAGAACGGCTCGCCATTCGTCCTAAAGGTCATACCCGAAGGGTTAAACGTGCCATTGGGAAATCTATTGTTTTCTTCCTTTTTCGTTCTGTCATAAACCATACCGCCAGAACTACCGTGCCGTACCCCCACTCCGATCCCCAGGAAAGAGAAGGAGCCGTTGCGGCGGTGGCCGCGGTGAGGTTTGGGACTCCGCTTCCGGGATGGTGGTGGTAGTGCAGGAGGGCATATTGGGAAAGGAACGACGATGACCGGAGTCGGGATTTTCCCGATGCCGTTAAAATTAGGCTGTGGTCTGCCCCATCCACCGGATGGACCGAAGCAGTAAGACTGAACCTGCTGCCTCTGATTGCTGGTCGTCGTAATCTGGTATTGGCTGGATTCGTACTTGATAAAGTTCATTATTATTGTAGACAGAAAATTAGGGATTTGCTAGTGTATAGCTAGTGATGATCACTAGTCACTACTGCTTCTGCTTGCTTGGTAATTTGCGTGGATATCATGTATATAGAGGCGTTTTAATATATATTTATCCTAGGATCAATACGAATATGAAGTTATCCGACGTTGCAGTGTAAGTGGATGGTATATATGCTATCCTAAGTGCATGGATATGGTATATATGCTTGAAAAGATGAATTAACTACTTCACTCTTTGAATATGAATCTGTCTATTTAACACATGTTGCGGAGCCAAGACTTGATTTCAAAGATAAAGTTTTGAACTAATTGAGTTTTGTTCCTTCTTCAATTACATCTAGTTGTGCTTTGATAATTTGATAGTTTTTTTTTTCTTTTTTTTTTTAAATGCGACAGTACTGTCGTTTTTGTTTTTCAATAGAGAGAACGAATTTGAACAGTGTTTAGATTTTTGAGCCTCCTATATTTGATTAAGTTGATTAATTAGAAGTGTAATTGAGCTTTCTTCTTAAATTAGTAAAGCTTTTTCTAAAAAAAAAAAAAAAGAATAGTGTAATATGATTTAATTAGGATTCAAATTAGATATTGAGTGGATGATACTTTCTAAAGTCTAATTTAATTAAGTAATTGTGTCTACTTGAACTAAATCATTAAAAAAAATGTAATTTCCTTTTATAAAAATGACTTTGATAAATCGGTTATTGATTTTTGGTATATCAAGGTATTTCTAAATTATCAATTCTCAATAATGTAAATTACTAATTCTTCAACTTTTGAAAATTGAGAGGCGTTCAGGTATATAATTCCCTTGTAATCTTATTTTTATCAAAATAAAATTCTACAGTATCAACTAATTTAATTAGCTCTCACGTTAAGAAGAAAGCATGATACATCTTGTGTATTTTTGTTTGACTCCGCATTGGTAATAAAAGATTAGGGTTTCAATCCGTATCACAGTTCCCTTCTACTCCAAGAATTAAAAATAATACAATAATTATGCAATTATAAGAAGAGTTACTTAAAGAGTCATCTACCAGGCATGGAGCAGGAAGACAAAGATTAATTAATTAGTGAACAAAGTTTAATCTGATCGTGAACAATTTAATTTAATTAATTAGTGTATTTGCATTAGTTTTTTTTTTCTTCTTTTTTTTTATTGAAATGATATTTTCTCTCTCCTTCCTAGAGAAATCTATTGAGTATTGACTAGCACAATATGGCTTGATTTGGTTAGAAGATTCGTGTCATGGTTCGGATTATGATTTGTGGCTCGCTATAATATTTTCTCTAAAAAAAAAACACATAAATTAAAAATAATTATGAATCATGATTATAATCTATCAACTAAACGTCCTCCTAATTAACACAATGTGGCTTGATCATTGCACGACTACGTCAGATCACTCACGTCATCCAAACTGCAAATTAGCATCTCACGATAGTGCTAGGCGTTTTCCTTATCCAAAGCTGTATAGCATCTATACGTGTTTCACGAGAATATTGAATTTAAAGGGAATTCGTGATAAGAGACATAAAGGAGTACTAATGTTTATCCCTTTTAGTCAAACATCACGTAGTAATTGAAGACTCCTTGTATTTGAGGCGTTAATTACTGAATCCGTAAATTCAATCAATATGTTCACTACAGACAAATTCGCTAGGTAGATTAGGTTGAGAGGATTTTTGAATTGATAAGGGATTAAGATTTTTTCAATTTGAAGGTTAAGAATTGTGAATTGAGCATTTCTAAAGTTGAACCCAATCTCTTGTTTTATAGTGGTTTGTTTGTTATAACGGATTATAATGACACAATTTAGTTTATTGTTGAAGACAAATTAGATTGTGTTGTATTTAATTGAATTTCATTAAATTATATTATAATATTGTAGGCTTATGTTTATGTTATGAATTTTAGGCTTTTCATGACTTAATTTGTAAGAAATTTTTTCTTTTCTTTTCAAAAAAATGTTCTGCATATATATATATAAATGACGGATTTACAAGAATAGTACAAAAATGAACTTATAAGAGAATTTAAAAAGGCTCAAATAGGCCAATCCATAAATCCCCATATTATTTTAGAAATTTAATGTGCAAAATTCGATATTTTTGCATTGGGTTAAATTGAATTGGGGGATTTTTGAATTAGTAATGAATTGAGATTTTATCAATTTAAAAATTACGAATTGGATTGCTGATCTATCTCTATTATATCTCTATTATGTGAAACGCAATCCTTCGTTTAGTTCACTGATCCGAGTTTTTAATTCGAGTTGAGATGTGACTTTATATGAAAGCTTTTTACTGTAGCAAAAAAGTTAGATGTGATTGTTGGTGAGAGCTTTTTACTGTAGTAAAACTCAAATTCTAAATTCGAATCAGCGAAATGAACAGTGATATTACTCAAACTCTATGTTAATGGATAAAAAAAAGTATATTTAACAGAGCGCACACATAAAACCTATATTTATGCACATGTCTTTCTTTAGTTTAGATATTATTTAGGCATGCTACCAACCTAGTCCCTTCACTTTCCATTGTCTTTGATTGTTCCCTTATTGTATGTAGACGCACATCGCGGCCCTTTTCTGGTCGTATTCCCTGTCTTCTGCTTGTATTTGGGAATTGGGATCCATAATTATACATATACGCACTTTTTTTTTTTTTTTGGCTCAAACAAAGAAACATATACGCACATTATGAATAAGTCGTTTTAGCCCTTCTTTCTTCTCTTGGCTTGTCATCCTATTAAATATACGTAAATCATCCTATTAAGACTTTTTTCTTAACCAGCACTGAATATACACTTCACCAGAAAAGAAATAGGTGGAAAACATACACATCGTAAACATTAAAGATTATAATAGAAACAGTATACTGCTTGTAGTCCACTCGTACTCTGCACTATTACTTTTTTTTTTTTTTTTTGGCTTCAATACTCTGCACTATTACCTCCAGAGTCCAGACACGTTTATATTGTATTTTGAGATTAATCAAATGTTGTATTAGTCTAACAGAACACGTGTTCGGGGTTATAACAACAACAGAAAGATTATATGCATAATAATGCCAACTTTGTTTCATAATTAGATTCATTAACATTGGAAAAATCCTAATTTGGTCTAAAATCATTCTACGCTGGCTAGGGCACTCAGGCCCTACTGTATCTTTGTCTTTCCTTCTTCATCACTCTCTCTCAACAGTCAGTCCTCGGTTTTTGAGAACCGTTAGCTCAAACTGACCGAAACCGCAACGCATCCGTCGATGACGGTTTGGTGTCGTTATCCTTGTCGGATCAACCATCCAAAAGTGATATGTTGTATCATTGCACCATGGCTAGGCGGCCAGTTCTTTTGAAGCTCTACCAAATACTTCTCTCACTAAGCAAACAGAAAAGTTACACCCCGCAATAACAAGGTTCCAAACCAATTGCTGGGTACAATATATATAGCAGAAGTTTCACTATATAACAATACAACTTCCAGCTTTCTTGACATCCATTCAAGTTGTCCAGCTCAGCATCGACACTTGAACATAACGGAGCAGGATTTTATTGTGGATCCTAACTTATGCACCAACATCAAATTAATCGGCAAGATATTGAAAGAAATAATCTAAAACGTGAAAAAAAAAGTGACGAAAGAAGAAAGGATCGTTAATACTATACCCATCTGCAACATCAATAAGAACTAATCTACACGCTAATTGAGTCTCTTACTGAATTTAACTCTCAACAATTGTAATTGTTCATTTATTATCTAGCATTTGGTTTATGTCTCTTTGTCACTTTTTTTACATTTATCACAATGGTGTCTCGATCAACCTACAACATACACAAACAATGATTAGAATACGTATTTTTAACTAACAAAAGCATTACAATATGTATAAATATTCTAAATTCAAATAATATATTTAAATTACGTTGAAAAAGTACATGAACAAATACTTTTATCTTTTATTCTACCACCACTCCAAATGTCAGTCACCGTCTTCATGTAAACATTCTATGTTATCAAATGCAGCCACGACCCCTACTTTTCTAATGGTTTGTTAAGGGAATCCACAATAATCTCTTGAAAGGTTAAATTTTGAATCCTCACATGGTGAAGTTGGGCAAAGCTTTTCCACCCCAATATGGTTCTTTCGTTAGAAAAAGACATTTATAATTGTAATTATATAATGTTAGACAATGTTTTGCCAAGACAGGATTCTGTATACTAGTATTAAATAACATTTCACCTCACTTGTTATTAAATAACAAATAGCAAGCAAAAAATAGGATAATGTTTTGCTGCTTATAAAGAGTACTAGAGACCAAAATTAAGGTTTCAGGCCGAATATTTATATATACAAAAAAATCACCAACAAGTTGAAAAGTCAAAAATCGGAAACATACATCTAAACCCTTAGATTATAGAGAACATCAATTTCTTCTTCTGATGAATTGATACTGACAGATCATATTCCTAAATTTTAATTTGGATTTACAGAATAGCTAAA